ACATCTGGTGCGGGTGGGGAGCGCATCCAGTAAATGGCCAGCTTGCCATCATCGTCTGTCCATCCATACTCAGTAGGGCTTGACACCACATGGTTAGCCTGCAGACAGCACTCCCAGATTGCTGCCTGATAGTTGGCTTGTTGATCATACATAAAGAGACATGGTGGCAGCTGGCTGGACTCGACTTTTCTCCTTTTGGTGCAGAAGAGCTGGTAGTGCAGTTCGTTCACATAACCAGTGCTGCTATTAGCAACATACATACGACAGGTGAACTGCTCAATTTTCTGGAACAGCTCATCACTCACATTCCATGACTGCCCCAGTTGGCAGGAAGTGTCCTTTCTCACCATCTTCAGAGCATTCAGCTTCCCGCGACCGGCGAATGCACTGGCAGTGTCGCAGCCTGTGAAGACGTGTAAGCCAATTAGGCTGTCACAGATGCTGTCTCCAAGTGACCTTGCCAGTTTGCTGATATCGACAAACCATGTGCTGTTCTGTGTCCCACACTTCTGGTAGATGGGACAGGTGATGTCCTTCTGGAAGCCAAGACAAAGCACCATGACATGAGTGTCTTCAGCTGTGATAATAACTGCCTTTGAGCTCACATTTGCTGCATGCAATGCATGCAGGAGCAGACGGGTGTCCACTTCTTCATGCGTAGAGTGCAGCTCTGCTACTTCCGCACACTCATCTTCTGTCAACTTTTAGCAGGTTTCCTCACAGGTCATGTACAACACCTTGCCATGCAGCATCTCTCTGTATCGTTGGAGTTTCCATTCTTCCACCAGAAACTTGATGAGACTGGACTTGTTGGAGGAACTGCACAGGAATTTTATCCACTACTGGATGTGGTGTCCCCCTGCAAGGTACTGGAGAGTGGTGTCTGCACCCCGGTTCAGTCGTTCAGCATATTTGATCGAAGTCTGTTGGTAGACCCAGGAGGACCTGGGTCAAGGCTGACCAGGCTCATCCCATCAATGATGGAAGTAGATGGGGTTGGGATGTCTTCTACAGGAGACATATTCTTTTCAAGCTCTCTGGCAAGTGCAGCCTTGTTTGTTTTTCGTAGGGACCCATCAGCATTTGCCAGTGCTCATGGCAGTGGGCCCGGTGGATGGGCAAGGACATCCTTCATATTCACCTTCCTGCTCTCAGCCACCAGGATCATGTAGCGGAACAGGTTTCTATCTGCTTTCAGAACCACATCCTGTGCTTTCTTTCCATGTGCTGTTTTTGTGCTGATATTGGAGAATGTCTTCAGACTTTGCTTGGTCATCTTGTCATGGAATTTCATAGATGGTGGGTCCTCAGCTAACCGTGTTTTCTTGAATACCTGGTAGGCCTCTTCTCCTATCTCAAGAGCTTTCAAGAGATCCCTGGTCACATCAGGTGGAGCCATGGTGCTAGTGGAGAGGCTAACCAGATGTGTCTCATCAGGGGACATAGGATTGATACAGTTATTCTCCATAAGGTCAATGAGAGACCGGATATCTGCTTCATCTCGCTTGATCCTTGGACCCTGTAGATCTGGATGGGACAGTTTAGACCTACCTTGACATAACAGGTTTCTCAGCTGTTTGAGGTACATGCTTCTGTACTCAGCTGTTAGGTAATATTTGGTCACGGCTCCTGGCTTCAAGCTGAATCCCTTTGTCCCTCCAGCTGTCTGGGTGTCTTTGTTCACCGCTTCTTCTATAGCTTGGTCAACAGGGATTCGGCCAAACCGATTGGAGCCCAGTTGAACTGAGAAGCTTCCTTCCATGTATTCCGTGTACACATCTGGGTGTGTGATGGGCAGCTGAGACATCTGGGCGTAGTAGCAGGGGAAGTAGCGTGCATAATTCATCCTATCATAAGCGAAGCACCATGGGATTATTGCTCGAATGCTTGCCAAGTGGAGCATCCAGTCTCCCTCTCTGGATGAGCCCCAACAAGATTTCAACCATGTCCAATTAGGACATCCAGAAGGTCAAGAGGCTGCCATTTCCATCTCTGAGAAACTCGCGGTAGACTTCAAACAGTCTCAAGGACCTCCTTCAAAGCGGCTTGTGAGACTTTTTTCCCAAGGTTGTCAATGGTCCTCAGTGGTCTCATCCAGGTGAACCATGTCGTTCATGTGAGTTGCTTCCAACCAGGACAGGAAACCATTCCATGTCAGTCGCACGAGAGCCTCATACAGGAGTTTGTGTTGTCGCACTGCCCTGTTGTACATGCGGCCATCCATAACACACGTAATGGAGCCTTCTGCGATCATGCCAGACTCAATGCAGAGATCTCAGAGTCCAGCATCTTGGAAATGCTTTCCTATTGCCAGCAGTGTGCAGGTGGTGTGGAATACCCCAAGCCTGATGATATAATGGAACTTGTCAGTGTTTCCATGTGATCTCGACAGCCGTTGCATACAGGGCTTGGTCAAAGACACAGACAATCTTTGTTAGGCTTAAGTACTGCATGACGCTCAGTGACTGGTTAAGCACCTCGTTGACAGTAGACATTTGTGTCGCTGGAGCATTGATGGTAGGCAAATAGCCTACATTGTCGGGGATGACCGTCATCTCACTTCGAGTCAGGATGTTGAAGCCTGTCCAGCTGCTGATTGACTGGTCTTCTTGTTGTGGCGTGCTAGGACCCAAACAAGGTTCTTCTCTCTGGCAAGTTTATTGGCTGCAGTATCGGCATCTCCACGTTTGCTTTGTGATGGCCCCACCCGTTGTCCAACGTTGTAAGTTGGTAACATTGGCGGGGCTGCATTAATGCTTATCTGCTTTGTTTTGGAAACAGTGGGCATGGGTTGCACGGGAACTGGGTTGACTGGCTTTGCTTCCACAGCAATCGCATTGACTCTGTGAGATGTTCCCTCAACACTGACGGTTTCTTCAAGACAATCGATATTGTCCCAGACTAAAGTTGTGAATATACCAGGACGGATGTTAGCTGGTAGGGCAATGTCACTCCCAGATGATGAGCGTTTCTGAAGACACACTGTGACCAAGTCGGTTGAGGATGTTTATCAGCTCTACATTCCCTGACAATGACTTGACACTGAATGGCAGAACAATGTGCTCGGAAGGCTTGGTCTTTCCACATGTTACTGTATAAACTATGTCATGGCCAAATGATTGAGGAAGCTGCTAAACTGTGGGATGCATGATCAGGATCATTAGCACCTGTGAGTAGATGGTACAGGAAGACAATGAGCGACTCTGGAATGGTAGGACATTCTGCTTCTGGTTTGACTTCAGGCAGCCAGGCTTGAGGAACATCTTGACTCTTGATGTCCTCTATCAATTTGATGGCTGCTTTGGCTATAACATCTTGAGCACCGACACTTTTCAGGGTCTGCAGCTCGCTTTTAAGAAACTGATTTTCTTTGCCAAGTTCCCTCATGGACAGGTTATGTGGATAGAGGAGATTTCCTATCCCATCAGGGAAGATTTGAAAGGCTCTAGCAAACGCACTCTCAGCTTTCGCCTTATGTGCTTCTTGGTTGATTTGTTGCCTTGGACAATGCCTAGGGAGTTCATTGAAGCAACCAGTCTAGAAGTGAGATTAGTCATTGTCACCACTTGAGGATTGCCAAAAAGCTCCACCCTGATGAAGATGAACAGCTTATTGTACGACTGATTCACAGCAGCTTCGTACTGGGCGGCAGCATCATTATCTTCATTGCTGGAAACCTCTTCTTTGGAAACCTCTAATTTTCGATTTGAAGCTTTCGTGACTGCAGGGATTCATCTTCTTGGTTATTTCGGTAAAGTCACGTAGAAGGGAAATAATAAACATAATAAAATAAAATTCTCACGACGTTTCGGCCACAACACAAGTAGCCTTCCTCAGGTGAAGAAACAGAACTGTCGGAAAGACAGCTCTCCAATGAACACTGCTAACCTTGGCAGCGTATTTTAAGCTGGGTGGGAAGAGCAGAGTGCCTTGACAAAGGAGTTTACATATCAACAGAAGAATTTAGCATTGAAGTAGCTGCGTTAATGTAATAGATTAGTAGGATGTTAAAGTCAGAAATTAGCATGTAACTGGGAGATTAGCATGTTAGTGTGAGGGATTAGCATGTAACTGGTCACGGAAGTAGCTATGTTAAAGTCAGAGTTTACATTTGGTATTACCTTAGAGTCGCGGTATCTCTTTAGAAAGGTGAGAGACTCGATTAGCTGAGCCTTCTTATCCCGGAGTTTGTTGAAGGATCTCAAGGTTATGTGGAATCCCTCCCCGTAGAGGCAGTTAAATTTCGATTTAAAGCTTTCTTGACTGCAGGGATTCATCTTCTTGGTTCTTTCGGTAAAGTCACGTAAAAGGGAAATAATAAACATAATAAAATAAAATTCTCACGACGTTTCGGCCACAACACAAGTAGACTTCCTCAGGTGAAGAAACAGAACTGTCTGAAAGACAGCACTCCAATGAACACTGCTAAGCTTGGCAGTTTATTTTAAGCTGGGTGGGAGGAGCAGAGTGCCTTGACAAAGGAGTTTACGTATCAACAGAATAATTTAGCATTGAAGTAACTGTTTCTTCACCTTCTACGTGACTTTACCGAAAGAACCAAGAAGATGAATCCCTGCAGTCACGAAAGCTTTAAATGGAAGCGTGAATAAATGCAAGAATATGTATGAAATACATGCCTTGGGGACAAACATCCAATTTGTAAATTATTTATTGTCTTAATTAACAGCAGAGGTGTTGGATTGTTTTATTTGTAACGTCCTGGTAAATAGGTGTTATTGCGATAGGTGCAAAAACAGGTTTCCTGCGAGAAAAATTAAACAGCTGCTCATTTGGAAAGCTTATCACGTATTATTTTACTTCTGTTGGTGTAACAAATAAAATGGCACCATTGAAGTTTTGCCACCTTGGGTGGTACCGATATCTGGTCTGGCCCAAGGACTATAGCGCGGTATCCCGAGCGTGGTATCCCGAGCGTGGTATCCCGAGCGTGGTATCCCGAGCGTGTTTCCGGGACACTGTGTTAACTCTTGGCCAGGAGACAGTCCCCCCCTCCTCCAGCGAGGCTGTAGCTGTAATGGGACCCAGCATGCAGACAAAGTGCGGAGGGCGGTGCCAGATCCTGAGCGCCGTTGTGTGCCCAGGCCCGTGTGTGGCCGGTGTGGTGGGGTACAAGATGCCGCGCTACTGCCTCTTCGGGGACACCGTGAACACCGCCTCCCGCATGGAGACAACGAGCCTGCGTGAGTCCTGCAATGCACCACCAGCACCACCACCCAGCACCATCAACAACGCCACCAACCAGCAGCACCACCACCACCACCAACCAGCACTACCGGTGTTGGTTGGTGGGGCAGTGTGAGGGAAAAATTAACCAGTACCAGCACCATCAACCAGTACCAGCAACCAACACCACCAACTAGCCCCACCCAGTGGTGGCCACGTGGAATCGGAGGTGCGGATGTGTTGATACCATGAGCAACGGAGGCTTCTCAGAAGCCAGAGGCCCTGGCTCCTGGTAACGTGGCAGGGTATCGCGGTCCGGACGTCACCAGCGCCGCACCTGCATTCGCTTCCACTTGTCCGGTGGTGGTGGCGGTGGTGGTCGTGTCGCCACGGCGACGCGTTGATCGAGTTCACAAGAGCACCGGGAGACGCTCCCTGCTGCGCAGTTGAACAAAGAGGGTGGTTGTCACCACACCGTCGCGCGGCGCTTTCGAACGCGCCGCTTCTGCGGGACATAACGGAGAGCGAAGACTCAGGTGGCTGGGACACGTGCTGAGAATGGAACCCGAGTCACATAACGAAGACCGCCCTACGGTGGACTCCAAAAGGGAAGAGATCACGGGGCAGGCCGAAGACCTGGCAACGCACCGTTCCAGACCAACTAGAGACAATGGGGGGGGCTACCTGTCTTAGGGTGAAGCAGAGAAAGCTGCTAAAGTCCATCCGGCATGGCGTGACATTGTTGCGGCCTGATGCTCCACAGGGAGCAAAGGGGAGTAAGTAAGCTTCTGCGTCCGTCTGGAACACCCTCCCTTCCGATATTAGGAAGCCACTGGGAGCTACGCACCCTTTAATCATCATCTTGATTGACAAACTAATTTCTGCAGAACTGCTTTTTGGGTTTTAGTTTGTTGTCCTTCCCCTCGCACCTCCTACATATGGCGCGAAAGAAGTTCAACACACCTTCATACAACTGTTGAGGCGTAAATGATGACTCGGAGGCAGATCTTCGTGTAGGGGCTCACACCACGTTTATTAAGGGCTTGCGCCAGTTGTTTTATTAAAGACCTCTCTTCGCACACGACTTCGTGTACTGCACACTCACTGCCTACACTCCACACCCCGGGGGAAAGGTACTGGGGATTCCCTAGCACACCCGCAGGCTACCCTAGCCTGGTGCCAATTTCCCCCTACCCCGGGGTCCCATCGCTCCACCGGGGGAAGGGTACTGAGGAGGCCCCTAGCATACCCACAGGCTACCCTAGCCTGGTGCCAATTTCCCCCTACCCTGGGTCCCGACTTCCACCCTTCACGTTCCCGGACTCTGAAACCTACCCTGAACACGTGACAGGTTCCAGCTGAAATCCCCCAGGGGGACATTACGTCACCGTCCCGCCCCCTGTGCATGACGTCACCATCCGTGCCGTCATCGCGCCAGAGGGCAAGCGTGACAGACGTCACTAACTCCTACTCTATACAACCATGGAACCAAGCAACCACACAGCCAGGCAACCACACAACCAATCGGCTACCATTAACATCACCTCCTCCACCACCACCTCCTCCACCATCACCACCTCCACAACCGCCACAGCACCTCAACCACCTCCATCACCATCTCCTCCACTACCGCTACCACTGCCATCGCAGTCTTCACCTCCATCACCACGAGTATTACAGCCACCATCATCATCTATGCCACCTTTAATACCATTATAACAATCATTACCATCACCATTATAACATTAATCACCATCGCCATTATAACAATCATTACCATCGCCATTATAACAATCATTACCATCGCCATTATAACAATCATTACCATCGCCATTATAACATTAATTATCATCGCTATTATAACAATAATTACCATCGCCATTATAACAATCATTACCATCGCCATAACAATCATTATCATCACCATTATAACATTACCATCACCATTATAACAATCATTACCATCGCCATTATAACATTAATTATCATCGCCATTATACCATTAATCACCATCGCCATTATAACAATAATCACCATCACCATTATAACAATCATCATCGCCATTATAACAATCATCACCATCACCATTATAACAATCGTTACCATCACCATTATAACATTAATTATCATCGCCATTATAACAATCATCACCATCACCATTATAACAATCATTACCATCACCATTATAACATTATCATCGCTATTATGACAATAATTACCGCCATTATAACAATAATTACCATCGCCATTATAACAATCATTACCATCGCCATTATAACATTAATTACCATCACCATTATAACATTACCATCACCATTATAACAATCATTACCATCGCCATTATAACAATAATTACCATCGCCATTATAACAATCATTACCATCGCCATTATAACAATCATTACCATCGCCATAACAATCATTATCATCACCATTATAACATTACCATCACCATTATAACAATCATTACCATCGCCATTATAACAATAATCACCATCACCATTATAACAATCATCATCGCCATTATAACAATGATCACCATCACCATTATAACAATCGTTATCATCACCATTATAACATTAATTATCATCGCCATTATAACAATCATCACCATCACCATTATAACAATCATTACCATCACCATTATAACATCATCGCTATTATGACAATAATTACCGCCATTATAACAATAATTACCATCGCCATTATAACAATCATTACCATCACCATTATAACAATCATTACCATCACCATTATAACAATCATTACCATCACCATTATAACAATAATCACCATCACCATTATAACAATCATTACCATCGCCATTATAACAATCATTACCATCGCCATTATAACAATAATTACCATCACCATTATAGCAATCGTCACCATTATAACAATCATCACCATCGCCATTATAACAATAATTACCATCGCCATTATAACAATCATTACCATCGCCATTATAACATTAATTACCATCACCATTATAACAATCATTACCATCACCATTATATCAATCATTACCATCACCATTATAACAATCATTACCATCACCATTATAACAATAATCACCATCACCATTATAACAATCATTACCATCGCCATTATAACAATCATCGCCATTATAACAATCATTACCATCTTCATTATAACAATAATCACCATCACCATTATAACAATCATTACCATCGCCATTATAACAATCATCGCCATTATAACAATCATTACCATCTTCATTATAACAATAATCACCATCACCATTATAACAATCATCACCATCACCATTATAACAATCATTACCATCGCCATTATAACAAACATTACCATCGCCATTATAACAATAATCACCATCGCCATTATAACAATCATTACCATCACCATTATAACAAACATTACCATCGCCATTATAACAATCATTACTATCACCATTATAACAATCATTGCCATCACCATTATAACAATAATCACCATCACCATTAAAACAATCATTATCATCGCCATTATAATATTACCATCGCCATTATAACAATCATTACCATCACCATTATAACAATCATTACCATCACCATTATAACAATCATTACCATCGCCATTATAACAATCATTACCATCGCCATTATAACATTACCATCACCATCATAACAATCATTACCATCACCATGATAACAATAATTACCATCGCCATTATAACAATCATTACCATCGCCATTATAACAATCACCATAATAACAATCATTACCATCGCCATTATAATATTACCATCGCCATTATAACAATCATTACCATCACCATTATAACAATCATTACCATCGCCATTATAACAATCATTACCATCGCCATTATAACAATCATTACCATCGCCATTATAACATTAATTATCATCGCCATTATAACAATAATTACCATCGCCATTATAACAATCATTACCATCGCCATAACAATCATTATCATCACCATTATAACATTACCATCACCATTATAACCATCATTACCATCGCCATTATAACATTAATTATCATCGCCATTATACCATTAATCACCATCGCCATTATAACAATAATCACCATCACCATTATAACAATCATCATCGCCATTATAACAATCATCACCATCACCATTATAACAATCGTTACCATCACCATTATAACATTAATTATCATCGCCATTATAACAATCATCACCATCACCATTATAACAATCATTACCATCACCATTATAACATTATCATCGCTATTATGACAATAATTACCGCCATTATAACAATAATTACCATCGCCATTATAACAATCATTACCATCGCCTTTATAACATTAATTACCATCACCATTATAACAATCATTACCATCGCCATTATAACAATAATTACCATCGCCATTATAACAATCATTACCATCGCCATTATACCAATCATTACCATCGCCATAACAATCATTATCATCACCATTATAACAATCGTTACCATCACCATTATAACATTAATTATCATCGCCATTATAACAATCATCACCATCACCATTATAACAATCATTACCATCACCATTATAACATTATCATCGCTATTATGACAATAATTACCGCCATTATAACAATAATTACCATCGCCATTATAACAATCATTACCATCGCCTTTATAACATTAATTACCATCACCATTATAACAATCATTACCATCGCCATTATAACAATCATTACCATCGCCATTATAACAAACATTACCATCGCCATTATAACAATAATCACCATCGCCATTATAACAATCATTACCATCACCATTATAACAAACATTACCATCGCCATTATAACAATCATTACTATCACCATTATAACAATCATTGCCATCACCATTATAACAATAATCACCATCACCATTATAACAATCATTACCATCGCCATTATAACAATCATTACCATCGCCATTATAACAATAATCACCATCACCATTATAGCAATCATCACCATTATAACAATCATCACCATCGCCATTATAACAATAATTACCATCGCCATTATAACAA